CGGCCTTGGCGCTCGCCCTGCCGGGCTGTCCAGGGGTGCGCTCACTCGGGGGGTTGTTCTGAAGCACCGTCTGCGCAGCGTGAAGCGTTTCCTGCGCACATCGCGGCTCTGCAGTCCTTAGGCTTCCAGCTGGGGCTTTGTTTGGTGCTGCCCCGTGTTGCCAGGATGTGTTCTTGTGCAGCGCGGCTCCGACTTACTCTTTTTTCCTGTCATGTATAACTCTGCTTCTGATTTTTACACAGAATAACACAGAATCTGTTCCACAAGAACCGGGCAAAAGTTGAGCCCCTCTGTCAGCTGAGGTTTCTGCACACTACCTGGTGTCACAGAGGCCTGGAGGAGTTTTTTGATTATCCAGGAAACTGGGGAGAAAAAACTGTCAAGTCTGGTGAGTTGCATTTAGCATTTCTGGTAGTGATCTTTGAGCCATTTGTGCTCGGCTGAAATCTGACCTGTTCTGTTGCATTATAGGATGTATTTAGAGCTACATAAAAGCTATTTTGTGTTCTGCGTTTTAAGCCTGTTGGTTTTATTTTTTCTGTGTGTTGTGTTTATTAAAGCAAATAGCTGTTATGCAGCAAAGTATTTTGTTGTAACTCCTCTGCCTTACTCTTAAGTCAGACTTTATCACAGCAGAGATGTTCTTTGATGAAATATACAGTACCATGGAAGAAAAATATTTAAATGGAAAGATTCATCTTATACCTTTCCCTGTTCCCAGCCTTTAACAAACACAAACACAACATATCATTGCCTTTGTGATGCATTTGTATATTCAAAGTCAAGCTGAATATCCACAAGGATAACTTTCCCAGAGGTAGTGTTTTTTTTTAAAAAGTGGTCCTTGTTCTAGTTATCTAAGCCTGCTAAACTAAGCACTTTTTTTTTCAAAATAAGAGGACTTTGCTCTATTGTTTTCATTGTTTTTTTACAGGAGATGCATGGAACATCAAGCAGCTAAGGGGCAAGAGTAGTGAAGACTTGCACAAACTTTGGTAAGTTTCAGTGAAGTGGCTTCTCTTTTTTCAAAGCTCTTCAGGTTTTATTAAAATCTGGCTAGTGAATTTACTAACCAGTGAAGTCAGTCTGCCATACAGCTTTGTGAGTTTGATCCTGCTTTGGGCTGGGAGCAGCCTGAGGTCTGGTGCTGTGTGGAACACGAACGCTGTGCTGCTGGAGGCTGTGATAGTTGTGTCCAGTGCAAAGGGCTCAGGTTTGGTATCAAGAGATGGGAGTTTGAGCCCCTTGGGGGTTGTTCAGATTGCAGGAAATGAGCTCTGGTGGGGCTAACAGCTCAGGTCTGCATCTCTTCAGGTTTGGAAAGTCTGTAAGGCTGGAGATTGCATCACTACTCTAGGTGACCTGTGGCAGGGCTGAACTAGTACTTATTGCTCTGAATGGTTTTTCCTTGCTATACCTTGTCCTTTTGCTGTGCACCTGAAGAAGAGTCTGGCTGTGTCTTTGCCAGGTAGGGGATACAGTGGTAACCTCTTCCCTCCTTAGCCTTCTTTATTAAGTAAGCCAGTTTCCTTCAGCCTTTCCTGACATGTCCTGTATATCAGCCCCCCCTTGCCCACCTCTGCTGGGCTTTCTCCAGTTGGTCAGTATCTTTTTTGCTTCTTTATAAGAAGCTAGCAGGTACAGGATGTGGGATTATAGGTTGGACAACTGTGCTCTCTCCTGCAGGGTGGAGTGAATAACTGCCAATAGATCCAGAAATTATTTTTTAAGCAATATGTTTTCTGATCTAGGTATGTCCTACTGAAGGAAAAAAACATGCTTTTAACCTTAGAGCAAGAATCAAAACGACAGCTCAGGCCTATGCCAAGTCCAGAACGATTAGAAAAGGTAACTTTTTCATACTAGTTAAAAATGTATCTCTGAGTAAAGTTGCTAAGTGAAAGGTGAAATGTTTGTAAACTGAAGGGCTGTTTTGAAAACTATTTCCCTGGCTTTAGTACCAGCACAAACACTGTGCTCCAGCAGCACCGTGGGAAAGGCCTCTTCACCTGTTTTGTAATGTTAAGAAATATTTTGCCATTTTCATGCCCAGAAACCTCCTGGGAAAGAATTTAGATAATGTTGAAGTTTTACCTTCATAAACGTTTTAGCTACTTAACTGGTGTGAACTTCTTGCCTGTGGTATTGTCTTCTCCAAAGCTTGTGTTCTTTGCTGTCCTCACTTTTGTCATCCCCTCTTTTTGTATTATTTTGATTCTGCCACTAATCTATTAAATTCTTTCCTCAGTATCTTTACCACTGAAAATTTAATTTACTTATTAATCGATGGCCTTCTCTATGTTTATGTCTCACAGATGGAAATCTACACCTTCACTGGCTAGTTAAATAATCCACAGGGTCAGTTCAGCTTTCATTCAGTCCACAACTGAGAGATTACTCATGATGAAACTCCTAATGTATTTTGCTTTTGCTTTTTCTTGTAATTTTTATCTTAGAACTTCATTTGAGATTATTTACATTATCAGCATTGTGTTTTGTTGGCTCATTCTGACACTATTTCCTATTTCCAGGTAGAAAAATCTATGAAAAATATAGACTTGGTTGTCAGAGAAAGAGAAGTTGCTTTGAGGCTTTTACAAACTGGCCATGAAAAACCAGTACCCGGCGAGTGGAGACATGACTTCTTGGGACGCACCTACTGGTATGGAAAAGAGAATTTTGGTTTCGTATGCATTCATTTTTCTTGAGCTATGTCTCTTTACCAGAAAATCTGTATCTAATCAAGAAGGGATGCATATGCTGCATAGAAAGAAACTTTTTTTCTGGGCAGTATTCAGGTGCTTCTTGAGGTTTTGTTTTTTTAATGTGGTTATAATTGTTGCTAAATAATTTAATGGCAAACTATACCATCAATTGTAATAAGTTCCATGTAACCAGTGTGATTTCTGTACTAGGAGCATGTCTTAACTCTAGCTGTTGTCTAACACATGCACAAATTAGGGAGTACTGTTCCCATTGAACAGTCTGGACTTTCCTCATTATAACGCACAATCCACATATCGGGGGACAACCACCCGAAGTCTTGCATGAGACCACACAAACATCCAGTGGAATTCCCTTAGTTTTAGCAGATATTTAACTTACAATAATCTGTACTTTGAGGTGATGATGCTGAAATCTCTGGCAGGATCTGCTGCTCTATCAACCAGTATTTTACCCTCATCATGCTGGCATTTGAAACTCTTCACAGCACACAGCTCTGCACTACCAGTGCAGATAACAGAAGGCCACATATTATAAATAATGCTGAATTTTCAGTTGTTATTTGTGTACCCAGTAAATGTAAACCAGCAGAGTACTAAATGCACTAACCACTAGATTTACATCTCTAGGGATAAGACTCCTCTACACCTCTTTCTGCTTGGAAACATGGTCCACAAAGAAGGGTCTGCCTATCTATTTGGAAGCCTAGTCCCCAGTTAAAGCAGGGGAAAAGGGGCAGATGACATGAAATAGTCTGTAAGTACATACAGAAACTGTAACACACAGACCAGTAGGTCTGACACAATCTGGATGCACTGGAGTCTGTAGGCAAGTCTGCACAAGCCATCTGTGCAGCCCATAAGCAAAAGAAACCCTAACAGAAATAACAGTCTCTATTCAGAGGGAAAAACTTATGTTCAGGCAGATTTGCACTTGACATGACACTCAGTTGCTGACATTTAAAAGAAAATGGTAACAGAAACAAAATTCTCACAGTGTTTGTTTATATCAACTTTTGAAGGTTTTCTTATGAAGGAGCAACTTTAAAATATAAATGCAAAGAATCACTATGTATACGGGGCCTGTTCTTCAAACATCTACTGGCTTTACAGCAGGATCATCTTCTTCAAAGCTGCTGAGCTATGTGTGAGATGCAGTTACAAACAAAGCCACTAACAGAGCTGAAAGTAAATACCTTCATAGAAACTCGGTGATCTACCAGCCAGACCACTTTGGCCCTGCACTGTAATGAGGTGGAACAATTGAAAGAATTCAAGAGTGAAGACTTTTTATCATCACTTTTATCTGTCTTTAACAGGTACACTTACAAGGAATGGCCAATACCATGGTACTTGAACAAGAAGCACAAGAAGAGGAGATTCTATTACTTACCTCATGTAGAACATTTCATCAGGTGACAAGATTTTTTTGACATTGAATGTTATTTTCTCATCTCTTTACAAATATGTAAGGGGTGAGTGTCAGGGAGATGGAGTTAGGCTTTTCTCAGTGATGACCAGTGATAGGACAAGGGGTAATGGGTGTAAATTGGAGCATAGGAGGTTCAAGGTGAATATCTGGAAAAAAAAATTTACTGTAAGAGTGACAGAGCACTGGAACAGGCTGCCCAGGGAGGTTGTGGAGTCTCCTTCACTGGAGACATTCAAAACCCACCTGGATGCGTTCCTATGTGATGTACTCTAGGTGACCCTGCTCTGGCAGGGGGGTTGGACTAGACGATCTTTCGAGGTCCCTTCCAACCCCTAGGATTCTATGATTCTATGATTCCTCTGACCTTACTCATGTTTGTTTAAGCTTGCAAACTGAAAATAAGGCTTTTTAAAATTACAGTTTATTCTGTTTCTTCTTGCTGTTCCTATCTTATTTAGGAGACCTGGTTATCTAGGAAGTTGGACTGTAGAAGTCATTTTACATGCAGGGTACCTAAAAGCCTCCCAGAGGTTGAATTTCTGTAGAATTCAAAAGCAGAAGGAAAAAAAAAAAGTTTCTGTTGCAGTCATTTTTGCTTATTGAAAACAAATTACTACTGAAGTGGCAGCTTCTATTTGATTAGGGGGCTGAGCTCATAAAGAATGTTACAAGCCATCTAGAAATTAATCACACTGATTTCTTTATTTCAGGCTTAGACTTGAAAAAAAATTACGTACAAGGGCAAAGCGGCAAAACCTCGAGAGGACGAGGCAGAAGGTCTTGGAAAGGAAGTTCCCTCACCTTGCTGTAAAATCTCAGAGCCAGTGACATGCTGGAAGAGAACTGCAAACAACTGGTCATGATGTTTGACTTGAACATCAATTTCTGAAACCAGCAAATTATTCCACTGAGCATTCTTGAGTCTCCATCTTTTTTTTTTAATCCCACATTTGGCCTAAATTAAATTTATGATCTGGAATTAAAAAGCCGCTTTGGTGTATAACTCAGGATTAATCCTAACAGTTGTTTCTAGGATCAGTGGAAAAATACCATATTAACCAGCTATCACAAAAGGGCAAAATACATCATTAACATGACAAGCAGCAACTAACTGACAGATAAAGTATAGGGATGTTTACCTGGTTTAGTTTAACAAATATGTATTAAAACCAGACAGGAATGTGAAAGCTTCTGAAGTACTCACCAACTACCTTTTATTCCCTGAGCATCTGAGTTACTGAGCACATGTAACTCAGGTGATGAACTTCTCCATGAAAACATAGGAAAAATATGCTCCTCAGTCTGCTAGGAATTTTTTCTCTGCTTTAAGTCAGCTTGTTAGAAATTAAGAAATACTTAGCATGTGAAGTTTTAACAATGCAGTCTTCATACCTAGATTTCTAGATACCTGATGACAAAATCAAACATTGTGCAGTGCTTTCTTATTGTGTAGGAAGACTGGTGACAGTCTTCTGTGAAACTGAAGAAGAAAGGTACTGCTGCTGCTCTGAGCTGATAGTAAACACTTCACAAAGGCTTTTAACCTTTGGATGACGTTGTGTAGAAATTTGGAGTGAAGTCACAAAAACTACTCTTTTTAGGAGGCAAATGTGCTATGAAATATTGCCTGATAAACCAGGGGAAACTCCAAGGGAGCCAAAGCTGTAGGAAACAAACCTATCTCCATTATCTTGACCTTCAGTTACTCCCATGCATCACAAAAAGTACCCACTTATAAAACAGAAACTCTACAGTGGTCAGAAAACCCGAGTGTTTTGCTCTCCACACAGTGCTAGAACATTCACAGATATTACCACTTAAATTATTTTAAGAAGATACACAGAAGATAAAAGTTTATTAGACAACACAGAAGGAAAGTTTAAAATACATTGTCAGTTCAAGAGAAACCAAAAAACCTATTTTGGACAGCTTGTAGCTATAGGTGAAGATACAATTTTAGTACTTCACTGCTGCCACAGTAACTTTATAAAGCATTAGCCATTGCAGTGTGCTATGCATTCCACACTCTAGTGTAAACTAGACATTCTTTCTTCCAGTATGAAAACAACAGCTGGTGACTTACATCACCAACTGTATCTGGCTCAAGTTTGCCTCATTTTGTGACAGAAATGTGGTTTGTCAATAGCTTTGGCAATCTGGAGCAAGCAATTTTGTCTCAGGAGCAAACTAATGGTTATCACGATAAGACAAAAGCAGGCTGTTGTGATAAATTACTTTATTGTTTGGAAGTAATGTAAAACTGTTTTCAACTAGAGGCCTCATAATTTATTTACCCACAAGATCTTTTAGGATACTAAAAATGTAGCAGTACTGTTTACAGTTTGTTGTTTTGTTTGTTGTTTTTTTTTAAATCAATTGAAAGCTATTTGGTTTTCTAGAGCTTTTAAAATAAGAAGCAAAACTTAATTGTGTCCCAATACAGAACATCTCAGAGTTGTAAATGAAAGTAAGCATACCAGCAA